CAAAGACAAGAACCACATAATTATCTCAATAGATGCAGAAAAGGCTTTTGACAAAATTCAACAGCCCTTCATGCTAAAAACGCTCAATAAATTCGGTATTGATGGAATGTACCTCAAAATAATAAGAGCTATTTATGACAAACCCACAGCCAATATCATACTGAATGGGCAAAAACTGGAAAAATTCCCTTTGAAAACTGGCACAAGACAGGGATGCCCTCTCTCACCACTCCTATTCAACATAGTGTTGGAAGTTCTGGCTAGGGCAATTAGGCAAGAGAAAGAAATCAAGGGTATTCAGTTAGGAAAAGAAGAAGTCAAACTGTCCCTGTTTGCAGATGACATGATTGTATATTTAGAAAACCCCATTGTCTCAGCCCAAAATCTCCTTAAGCTGATAAGCAACTTCAGCAAAGTCTCAGGATACAAAATTAATGTGCAAAAATCACAAGCATTCTTATACACCAGTAACAGACAAACAGAGAGCCAAATCAGGAATGAACTTCCATTCACAATTGCTTCAAAGGGAATAAAATACCTAGGAATCCAACTTACAAGGGATGTAAAGGACCTCTTCAAGGAGAACTACAAACCACTGCTCAGTGAAATAAAAGAGGACACAAACAAATGGAAGAACATACCATGCTCATGGATAGGAAGAATCAATATCGTGAAAATGGCCATACTGCCCAAGGTAATTTATAGATTCAATGCCATCCCCATCAAGCTACCAATGAGTTTCTTCACAGAATTGGAAAAAACTGCTTTAAAGTTCATATGGAACCAAAAAAGAGCCCGCATCTCCAAGACAATCCTAAGTCAAAAGAACAAAGCTGGAGGCATCACGCTACCTGACTTCAAACTATACTACAAGGCTACAGTAACCAAAACAGCATGGTACTGGTACCAAAACAGAGATATAGACCAATGGAACAGAACAGAGTCCTCAGAAATAATACCACACATCTACAGCCATCTGATCTTTGACAAACCTGAGAGAAACAAGAAATGGGGAAAGGATTCCCTATTTAATAAATGGTGCTGGGAAAATTGGCTAGCCATAAGTAGAAAGCTGAAACTGGATCCTTTCCTTACTCCTTATACGAAAATTAATTCAAGATGGATTAGAGACTTAAATGTTAGACCTAATACCATAAAAATCCTAGAGGAAACCTAGGTAGTACCATTCAGGACATAGGCATGGGCAAAGACTTCATGTCTAAAACACCAAAAGCAACGGCAGCAAAAGCCAAAATTGACAAATGGGATCTCACTAAACTAAAGAGCTTCTGCACAGCAAAAGAAACTACCATCAGAGTGAACAGGCAACCTACAGAATGGGAGAAAATTTTTGCAATCTACTCATCTGACAAAGGGCTAATATCCAGAACCTACAAAGAACTCAAACAAATTTACAAGAAAAAAACAAACAACCCCATGAAAAAGTGGGCAAAGGATATGAACAGACATTTCTCAAAAGAAGACATTCATACAGCCAACAGACACATGAAAAAATGTTCATCATCACTGGCTATCAGAGAAATGCAAATCAAAACCACAATGAGATACCATCTCACACCAGTTAGAATGGCGATCATTAAAAAGTCAGGAAACAACAGGTGCTGGAGAGGATGTGGAGAAATAGGAACACTTTTACACTGTTGGTGGGATTGTAAACTAGTTCAATCATTATGGAAAACAGTATGGCGATTCCTCAAGGATCTAGAACTAGATGTACCATATGACCCAGCCATCCCATTACTGGGTATATACCCAAAGGATTATAAATTATGCTGCTATAAAGACACATGCACACGTATGTTTATTGCGGCACTATTCACAATAGCAAAGACTTGGAATCAACCCAAATGTCCATCAGTGACAGATTGGATTAAGAAAATGTGACACATATACACCATGGAATACTATGCAGCCATAAAAAAGGATGAGTTTGCGTCCTTTGTAGGGACATGGATGCAGCTGGAAACCATCATTTTTAGCAAACTATCACAAGAACAGAAAACCAAACACCGCATGTTCTCACTCATAGGTGGGAACTGAACAATAAGATCACTTGGACTCAGGAAGGGGAACATCACACACAGGGGCCTATCATGGGGAGGGGGAAGGGGGGAGGGATTGCATTTGGAGTTATACCTGATGTAAATGATGAGTTGATGGGTGCAGCACACCAACATGGCACAAGTATACATATGTAACAAACCTGCACGTTATGCACATGTACCCTACAACTTAAAGTATAATAATAATAAATAAATTTTAAAAAAAAGAAAATAAATGAGCTTAGAAAAAGAATCAATAGACTTATGAAAAATGTGAATTAAAACTGAGCACTACAGCAAGAAAAGACATGGCAGTGCAGAGCTTACTGAGAGCTGGATTGATAGAATTAATCAGCAGAAGCCATACTGGGGTAGGTAGAAGAGTGAATCCGAAAAGAAAAATCAAGATAACACATATAGAAAATTGTGAGAGATCTGCATTTGCAATGGAGGGAAGTAATAAGATTGCACTCTCCTTTTTGAAAATATATGTCACTAAAGTTCATATATTTGATGCATTGGTAAATCATATGAATACATTTAATATTTTATATTTTTAAAGCATAAAATATAAAATTATTTACAATAGTAATTGATCATTATTTTGATTAATTCTCTGTTAAATGTCACTAAAAACTGACACATTTCTTTCACAAAATAAAATCGGAAACTGGAAGAGATTGTCTTTCTCAATACTTTAGGAATGCGGAAAGGATTCCCTATTTAATGAATGGTGCTGTCAAAACTGGATTGCCATCAGCAGAAAACTGAAACTGGACCCCTTCCTTACACCTAATACAAAAATTAACTCAAGATGGATTAAACCTTAAATGTAAAACCCAAAACCATGAAAACCTTAGAAGAAAACCTAGGCAATAGTGTTCAGGACATAGGCATGGGCAAAGATTTTATGATGAAATCACCAAAACCAACTGCAACAAAAGCTAAAATTGACAAATGACATCGAATTAAAGAGCTTCTGCACAGCAAAAGAAACTATGAATCATCAGAGTGAACAGGCACCCTAGAGATTGGGAGAAAATTTTTGCAGTCCAACCATCTGACGAAGGTCTAATATCCAGAATGTACAAAGAACTTAAACAAATTTACCAAAAAAAAAAAAAAAAATCAAAAAGTTGGTAAAGGACACGAACAGACACTTCTCAAAAGAAGACTTTTATGTGGCCATAAACATGAAAAAAGCTGAACATCACTGATCATTACAGAAATGCAAATCAAAACCACAATGAGATACCATCTCATGCCACTCAGAATGGCGATTACTAAAAAGTCAGGAAATAACAGATGCTGGTGAAGCTGTGGAAAAATAGGAAAGGTTTTACACTGTTGGTAGGAATGTAAATTAGTTCAACCATTGTGCCACAGTGTGGCAATTCATCAAGGATCTAGAACCAGAAATACCATTTGACCCAGCAATCCCATTGCTAGTAGAAGAAAAAATGAGAAACTAGTAAACCTTCACTTACTAAATAGCTGATTTGCTAAAGCAGAGCTCATTCTATTTAAGGACTCAGCCTCTATAGGGCTGAGACAAACTAACTTCTTATGCAAAATAAAAAGTCAGAGTCAGAGTTCAGGACCACTCTGAAAGTTAATTCTTTAGTTGATAATATTCAATATTTATAAATTTATGAATTTAGAACAAAGATGGTCTTTTTTATACGATAAGAATTTACTTGGATAAGAACTTCTGCAAAACTTTGAAAAATGACAATGATTTAATTGATAATATTTTCTAAGTCACATATGTGTATTGGAATGATACTTCTTCGAAGGTTACAAAAATTAGTTCTCGTAGTATAAACAAATCTGACATATTACAATAGTGTGTGACTCTCCAACAAGTCTATCCAACAAAATTTGATTGCTTAATATACATCTTTCTCATTGGATTTTGTTGTGTATCACATGAGAAGCACTGATATTGAGTTCAGGAAGAAGCACAAAATATTTGCAAGATCAGTGTCATAAACCTAGGGCAAATAGATGACTGTGATTGTAGTTGCTGGATCTTAAAGTCTTATCACAATTTGTAGCTTTAGCCTGCATAACTTTGGGCTGCCATTGACTATCTGATGGTTATTACTTATGTTTGATCCTCAGTTTTTCAGGATGTTTTGTAGACTTTGAGAATTAAATGCATATAGCTTGTATTATATGATTTACTTCTACTAAATTTAGTCAACACATCAATATTTATGTTAAGTACTGAAAAGAAAAAAGTGTTGGCAATACCTGGATGAATATTGCAGCTAGTGAAGTTTACAAATTATTACAAATATATTACAAATATATTTTCTCATATAAAGGAAAATTCAAAGCTTCATATACTATGAGAAAAATTTTAAAATATTATTCACATTTTTAGCAGTTCTGAATGATTAGGTAGGTAATTACATTCATATTATTAATGTGTATTTACATAGATTTTTATTTTGCATATGTACTTTCACACAACAAAATTTACATGAACAAATTACATTAAAAGTTATTTCACAATTATACTCGTCAAATTAAATTAAATGTCAATAGCTTTTAAACTTAGATTTTAGTTTAACTTTTCTGTCATTCTTAACTTTACATTGAATAAAAAGAGCAAAGTTTATAGTTTTTATCTGTGAAGTAGAGGTGTACACAGTATACATAAATAGATATGCCAAATCCGTGTTATTAAAAGTTCATGAAGATTTCAATTAGAAAATAATACCATAAAAAGTTTTGAGTGTAGGTGAAAAATAGGCAATGATGAAAAACATCTTTCAACACATGTAGAGAGTGAATAAAGAAAGCAAAAACAGAGATAGAAAGTAAAACTAGAGCATTTAGAAAATGGAAATTAGTATGTTCACTATTTAAGATCCATGCATGGAGCAAAGTCTTCAGAAAACCTAGAGGCCAAGGTTCAAGGTTACCCACCTCAAGTAGCCTAGCAATATTTGCAACATCCCAATGGCCCTGTCCTTTTCTTTACTGATGGCCGTGGTGGTGCTCAGCTACAAATCCATCTGCTCTCTGGGCTGTGATCCTCCCCGGACCCACAGCCTGGGTCATAGGAGGTCCTTGATACTCCTGGCACAAATGGGAAGAATCTCTCCTTTCTCCTGTCTGAAGGACAGACATGACTTTGGATTCCCCCAGGAGGAGTTTGATGGCAACCAGTTCCAGAAGGCTCAAGCCATGTCTGTCCTCCATGAGATGATCCAGCAGACCTTCAATCTCTTCAGCACAAAGGACTCATCTGCTGCTTGGGAACAGAACCTCCTAGAAAAATTTTCCGCTGAGCTTTACCAGCAACTGAATGCCTTGGAAGCCTGTGTGATAGCAGAGCCTGGGATGGAAGAGACTCTCTTGATGAATGAGGACTCCATCCTGGCTGTGAAGAAATACTTCCAAAGAATCACTCTCTATCTGACGGAGAAGAAGTACAGCCCCTGTGCCTGGGAGGTTGTCAGAGCAGAAATCATGAGATCCCTCTCTTTTTCAACAAACTTGCAAAGAAAATTAAGGAGGAAGGATTGAAAACTGGTTCAACATGGAAATGATCCTCATTGACGGACATGTCATCTCACACTTTCATGAGTTCTTCCATTTCAAAGGCTCATGACTCTTATAACCACCACGAGTTGAATCAAAATGTTCAAAAGTTTTCAGGAGTGTAAAGAAGCATCGTGTTTGCCTGTGCAGGCACTAGTCCTTTACAGATGACCACGCTGATGTCTCTGTTCATCTGTTTATTTAAATATTTATTATTTACATATTTTTAAGATTTAAATTATTTTTATGTAATATCATGTGTACCTTTACATTGTGGTTAATGTGATAATATATGCTCTTCCTATTAGCCAATATATTAATTTCCTTTTTCATTAAATTTTTTTACTATACAAAATGTCTTGTGTTTGTTTATTCTTTAAGATAAAATGCAAAGCCTGACTGTACAACCTGACTTAAAAATAGATGATTTAATTAAGTTACCTATCATAATGTTATTCAAGTTATAGAAAAATATATTTTTCTATACCAAGCTGTATGTTGTCATCAGGATACAAACATGAACATAAAAACTACAGTTCCTGTTCTCTTGTATCTTTGATTTTTGTCCAGAAAGAAATCTAAAAACAATAATAATGCTGAATTAATATCAGTTATGCTAACTGCTGTAATATGAAGAAATGAAAGAGCAATGAATTCCTCTTAGCAGAAGGTAGTTTGAGACATGTCTGGAAATTAAAGCAGAGATATTCTCTGTAAACTGACTTTCAACATGTAATTGAAAATGTACATTGCCAGTCAGATAAATGAGTTTGCAGTTTCAAGGAATACCATATCTGGAAATTCCTAACTGGCAATGGAAAGGCCAAAAATGAAATGGAATGGCTGTCCATGTGGTGAGCAAGTGGAGGGGGAAAAAGAGACTTAAACTGGATTCTGAGGACCTTCCACCAGTAAAGCGGGGGAAATGAAGAGACACACAGAAAACAGAGGTGGAATATCTTAACAGCAGAAGGACAAGAGGGAATGGTGATAAAAGCATATTTAGAAAATAAATGAGCTTAGAAAAAGAATCAATAGACTTACGAAAAATGTGAATTAAAACTGAGCACTACAGCAAGAAAAGAGATGGCAGTACAGAGCTTACTGAGAGCTGAATTGATAGAATTAATCAGCTGAAGCCATACTGGGGTAGGTAGAAGAGTGAATCCGAAAAGAAAAATCAAGATAACACATATAGAAAATTGTGAGAGATCTGCATTTGCAATGGAGGGAAGTAATAAGATTGCACTCTCCTTTTTGAAAATATATGTCACTAAATTTCATATATTTAATGCATTGATAAATCATATTAATACATTTAGTATTTTATATTTTTAAAGCATAAAATATAAAATATTTACAATAGTAATTGATCATTATTTTGATTAATTCTCTGTTAAATGTCAGTAAAAACTGACACATTTCTTTCACAAAATAAAATCTGAAACTGGAAGAGATTCTTTTTCTCCAGACTTTAGGAATGGGGAAAGGATTCCCTATTTAATAAATGGTGCTGGGAAAACTGGATTGCCATCAGCAGAAAACTGAAACTGGACCCCTTCCTTACACCTAATACAAAAATTAACTCAAGATGGATTAAACCTTAAATGTAAAACCCAAAACCATAAAAACCTTAGAAGAAAACCTAGGCAATAGTGCTCAGGACATAGGCATGTGCAATGATTTTATGATGAAATCACCAAAACCAACTGCAACAAAAGCTAAAATTGACAAATGACATTGAATTAAAGAGCTTCTGCACAGCAGAAGAAACTATGAATCATCAGAGTGAACAGGCACCCTAGAGAATGGAAGAAAATTTTTGCAGTCTACCCATCTGACGAAGGTCTAATATCCAGAATGTACAAAGAACTTAAACAAATTTCCCAAAAAAGAAAAAAAAAATCAAAAAGTTGGTAAAGGACACGAACAGACACTTCTCAAAAGAAGACTTTTATGTGGCCAATAAACATGAAAAAAGCTGAACATCACTGATCATTACAGAAATGCAAATCAAAACCACAATGAGATACCATCTCATGCCACTCAGAATGGCGATTACTAAAAAGTCAGGAAATAACAGATGCTGGTGAAGGTGTGGAAAAATGGAAAGGTTTTACACTGTTGGTAGGAATGTAAATTAGTTCAACCATTGTGGAAGACAGTGTGGCAATTCATCAAGGATCTAGAACCAGAAATACCATTTGACCCAGCAATCCCATTTCTAGTAGAAGAAAAAATGAGAAGCTAGTAAACCTTCACTTACTAAATAGCTGATTTGCTAAAGCAGAGCTCATTCTATTTAAGGACTCAGCCTCTATAGGGCTGAGACAAACTAACTTCTTATGCAAAATAAAAAGAGTCAGAGTTCAGGATCACTCTGAAAGTTAATTCTTTAGTTGATAATATTCAATATTTATAAATTTATGAATTTAGAACAAAGATGGTCTTTTTTATTCGATAAGAATTGACTTGGATAAGAACTTCTGCAAACCTTTGAAAAATGACAATGATTTAATTGATAATATTTTCTAAGTCACATATGTTTATTGGAATGATACTTCTTCGAAGGGTACAAAAATTAGTTCTCATAGTATAAGCAAATCTAACATATTACAAGAGTTTGTGACTCTCCAACAAGTCTATCCAACAAAATTTGATTGCTTAATATACATCTTTCTCATTGGGTTTTGTTGTGTATCACATGAGAAGCATTGATATTGAGTTCAGGAAGATGCACAAAATATGTGCAAGATCAGTGTCACAAACCTAGGGCAAAGAGATGACTGTGATTGGAGGACTTTCTGTCCATTTTTTGCTGGATCTTAAAGTCTTATCACAATTTGTAGCTTTAGCCTGCATAACTTTGGGCTGCCATTGACTATCTGATGGTTATTACTTATGTTTGATCCTCAGTTTTTCAGGATGTTTTGTAGACTTTGAGAATTAAATGCAAATAGCTTATATTATATGATTTATTTCTACTAAAGTTAGTCACACATCAATATTTATGTTAAGTACTGAAAAGAAAAAAGTGTTGGCAATACCTGGATGAATACTGCAGCTAGTGAAGTTTACAAATTATTTTCTCATATAAAGGAAAATTCAAAGCTTCATATACTATGAGAAAAATTTGAAAAAATTATTCACATTTTTAGCAGTTCTGAATGATTAGGTAGGTAATTACATTCATATTATTAATGTGTATTTACATAGATTTTTATTTTGCGTATGTAATTTCACACAACAAAATTTACATGAACATATTACATTAAAAGTTATTTCACAATTATACTCGTCAAATTAAATTAAATATCAATAGCTTTTAACTTAGATTTTAGTTTAACTTTTCTGTCATTCTTAACTTTACATTGAATAAAAAGAGCAAAGTTTATAGTTTTTATCTGTGAAGTAGAGGTGTACACAGTATACATAAATAGATATGCCACATCTGTTTTAATAAAAGTTCATGAAGATTTCAATTAGAAAATAATACCATAAAAAGTTTTGAGTGTAGGTGAAAAATAGGCAATGATGAAAAACATCTTTCAACACATGTAGAGAGTGAATAAAGAAAGCAAAAACAGAGATAGAAAGTAAAACTAGAGCATTTAGAAAATGGAAATTAGTATGTTCACTATTTAAGATCCATGCACAGAGCAAGGTCTTCAGAAAACCTGGAGGCCAAGGTTCAAGGTTACCCACCTCAGTAGCCTAGCAATATTTGCAACATCCCAATGGCCCTGTCCTTTTCTTTACTGGTGGCCGTGGTGGTGCTCAGCTACAAATCCATCTGCTCTCTGGGCTGTGATCTGCCTCGGACCCACAGCCTGGGTCATAGGAGGGCCTTGATACTCCTGGCACAAATGGGAAGAATCTCTCCTTTCTCCTGTCTGAAGGACAGACATGACTTTGGATTCCCCCAGGAGGAGTTTGATGGCAACCAGTTCCACAAGGCTCAAGCCATCTCTGTCCTCCATGAGATGATCCAGCAGACCTTCAATCTCTTCAGCACAAAGGACTCATCTGCTGCTTGGGAACACAGCCTCCTAGAAAAATTTTCCACTGGACTTTACCAGCAACTGAATGACCTGGAAGCCTGTGTGATACAGGAGGTTGGAGTGGAAGAGACTCCACTGACGAATGTGGACTGCATCCTGGCTGTGAGGAAATACTTCCAAAGAATCACCCTCTATCTGATGGAGAAGAAATACAGCCCTTGTGCCTGGGAGGTTGTCAGAGCAGAAATCATGAGATCCTTCTCTTTTTCAACAACCTTACAAGAAAGATTAAGGAGGAAGTAATGAAAGCTGGTTCAACACGGAAATGATCCATATTGACTAATACACCATTCCACACTTCCTTGACTTCTGCCATTTCAAAGACTCATTTCTGCTATGACCACTATACGAGTTGAATCAAAATTTTCAAATGTTTTCAGGAGTTTAAGGAAACATCATGTTTACCTGTGCAGGCGCTAGTCCTTTACAGATGAGCATGCTGATAGATCTGTTTATCTATCTATTAAAATATTTGTTTATTTTAAGATTTAAATTTTTTCCATATATTATTATATATACTTTTACGTTGTATTTGTTATATCAAAATATCTTCTTTATATTTAGTCAATATATTATTTTGCTTTTTTATTAATTTTTAGCATTAAAATTTCTTGCATTATTTGTTTATTCTTTAGAAAGAAATACCAAGACCAAATGTGCAATCTCATTACAGGATGGGTGGTACAATTCATTTACCCATCATCATTATATCCAAATTGTAAGTAAAAATTGACTTTCTCTAAGCCAAGTTTTATATTGCCCTTAGGATATCTAGGTGAACATAACAAACACAGTTTTCGCTTTCTTGTGTCTTTTATTTTTGTAAGGAAAATAATAACTCTACTTTCTAATACCTGGTACATTAACTGCTATAGTGAGAAGAAATAAAAACAAATGAAATTCAGTAAAACTGAAGGAAGGCATATCAAA